GCATGTGCACACTCATTCCCTAACATTTTAAACTCAAGACAGGAATAGCTTTCCACCGGTTGCCAATCCTTGCAGGCCCGTGTCCCACGTGACCACAACACTGACTGTGTGGCAAACAGCTAATCCTTCCACCACCACCATTTCTCCTTCCCCTCCAGTCCCGAACCGAACCGTCCCCCAACAGCTGCTCACCAGTCCTTCACCACGATGGCAGGCTGGGTGGTGTCCAGTAGCTCCTCCCAGTAGCCCTCGGCCTGCAGATCAACGACCTGCGCTTTGCGACACCACCTGGAGGAACAGGCGTCAGGACCCGGTAGGACCCACGCTTTCCCCTCCCTCTCCCCCTTGTCCCTTCTCCTTACTCGAAGGAGGAGGCGAAGTACTTCTTAACGCTGTCATCATGGGTAAATTCCACCCCACTGTCTCCGGGCAGTTCCTCCACCCTCCAGCCGTCGCCACCATGCTCCACGTCGCTCCAGCCCTCCAAGTCCTCTGTGGGGACACGACAGCCCCACCCTGGTCACACAGCCCCTTGCTTGAGGCCCTGGCTCTTGCCCTGATAGTGGGAGGCAGAGTGGACATGGGTACTTTCTCAAGGTCTCAGTGGGCAGACGAGTGACGGGAATGTAGACACTTTCAGTCTACCCCAGACTCAGTGTCCACAGGACCTGTCCTGCCCCAGTTCACTGAGAGTGGATGCCCTGGGAAGAGACTCCCCAGGGAGCAGAGGGACGTTCTGGGCAAGACATTGCACCAAGCGCTTCATCTCGTTTAGCCTTGAAGCGGGCTGGCACCGAGGGTCGTTCTCTAGAAGGGAGAGTGGGCATCCAACTATGCGGCCCTCACCTTCCCCGCAAGAGTTACGCAGCAGGTTGCGCCTCCTCTTGCTCAGAAAGTAGAACTGTTGCCAGTGGTCCCGCTCATCGTCAGCGCTGCCCTCGGGCACCAGCCCCTCCTGCTGACACTTGAGCAGCCACAGTGGGGCGCTGTCCACCAGCTCCTTCCAGCGCTGGCACACCAGACGGCAGACCTGCACCAGCTCCGTAGCGGGCAGCTCGGCCAGCACGCGCAGCAGCAGCGCCTCGGGCAACTCCGCCAGGTACTCCAAGGCCTCCGCTTCTTCCTCCTCCTCCTCCTCCCGGGGCTGCTCCTCCTCCGCACTCGCCTCGGCGCCCGCCTCCTCTGGCTGCTCCTCTGGGCTAGCCTCTTCGGGGTGGCTCACGCTCTCTGCGGGCCGGGGAGTAAACAGTGATTCCCAAACTGTACCCCTCCACTTTGAGTAAACCACAGCAGGGGGCCAGAGATTTTTGACCAGGACTTCCTGGCATTCACCCATAAGCTAGCCCTCGTGAAACAGAGTCAGGCACATCTCTGTGAGTGTGATGCCAACATACGATGCTGAGTTCCAGAAAGAGTACTGTGAATCAGTCTCTGTCTCTGACACACACACACACACACACACACACACACACACACACACACACACA